ACAACTTTGAAAAAATCTCTGATTTCTACGCCTATAGTGTAGCTTCTCGATTGGGATGCTTCTTCTGAGATTATGTGTGACGCCAGTGGCTACGAAGTAGACACGGTGTTAGGCCAAAAGAAAAACAATAAGATGCAAGCCATCTACTATTCTAGTAGGAATCTTGATGAGGCACACATTAATTATATGACCACAGAGAAAGAACTATTGGTCGTGGTTTTTGTTATTGACAAATTTCTCTCCTACATGGTGGGTTTGAAAATAATTTCCTACATCAACAATGCGGCCATTAAATATCTTCTAAACAAGAAGGATGCTAAGCCTGGACTCATTAGGTGTATCTTGTTGTTGTAATATTTTGAAATTGAGATTAGAGATAAAAAAGAGACATAAAATATGGTCGCTGATCACTTGTCCCGATTGATTGATTTGAAAGTAGAAGAGTTACCTCTTGATGACTCTTTCCTGGATGACAAGCTTTTTGCGTTGGTTGGAAAGGAAACGCCTTGATATGCTGACTTTGTCAACTCCGATCTCAAGCATTACTATTGGGATGAGCCTTTTCTTTTCAAGAGAGACACTGAAGGAATATTTTTATGATGTATACCTAGGGAAGAGATATAAAGTGTGATGATTCATTGTCATGCCTCTACCTATGGTGGGCATTCTAGTACCGATAAAAATGTGTCGAAGATTATGCAAGCTGGCCTCTGTTGACCAACTCTCTTTAAGGATGTCAATGCTTTTATAAAGAAGTGCGATCAGTGCCAACACACATGAAACATCTCTAAGAGAAATCATATGCCCTTGAGTAACATTATTGAAGTTGAAATTTTTAACGTCTGGGGTGTTGACTTTATGGAACCCTTCACTTCTTCTCTACAGAATCAGTACATTCTCGTGGTTGTTGATTACGTGTCTAAGTGGATTGAGACTATTTCCTCTCTGACAAATGATGCACGGGTTATTATAAATATGTTTAAGAAAATCACCTTCCCAAGGTTTTGGGTCCCTAGGTTAGTAATAAGTGACAGGGGGCGCACTTCATTGCTAGACAATTTGAGAACCTCCTTAAGAAGTATGGAGTGAATAATAGAGTTGCCACACCATATCACCTACAAACTAGTGGTCAATTCGAGGTCTCTAATAGAGAGATAAAAGATATTTTAGAAAAGAATCTATCTCTTTCTAGGAAAGATTGGTATTCTAAACTCGACGACGCACTGTGGGCGTATTGTACTGCCTACAAAACCCCTATTGGTATTACCCTTTTTTGGTTGATTTACGGAAATTCATGTCACCTTCATATAAAGTTAGAGTATAAAGCTTATTGGTCCAATAGAGCCTTCAATTTAGAATATCAAGCGGTATGAGAGAAAAGGAAGTTACAATTGAGTGAACTTGAAAAGTTAAGGCTTGATGCATATGAGAATGCCAAGTTTCATAAAGAAGGAACAAAGAGGTTGCATCATAAGAGAATATTGAACACAGAATTTAAGGATAGATATTTAGTCTTATTGTTTAACTCAATACTTAAATTCTTCCCCGGAAAACTCTGGTCTCTATGGTTTGAACCCTTTATTGTGAAAAGTGTGAAATCGTACGGAGCAGTAGAGGTCTGGAGCGAGGCTACGAGTTTGTTCACTGTGAATGGTCAATGTTTAAAGCACTAAATCACCAGATATGTAGTTGAACAAGGGAAAAACTTGGTTCTTAAAGAACCATCTTGAATGGAAACACTCAATAACTGTTGAGTCATGCGACGTTAAACAAAGCGCTACGTGAGAGACAACTCACGTTTTTTGTTGCTAATTTAGTTTCTTGTTTGTGTGTTTTTATTTCCAGTTAATAAAAATGGTTTGCAAAATGAGGAGAATGAAAAGATGTTGAAATTGAAAAAAAAATATTGAAAGATCGTTTCCCTCCACCTCCTCAGTGAAGATCTTAGTGAGTTGCCCTTCCTTTCTTGTACTAAAACATTGCGTACAATGTTTGGTTCAAGTTTGAAGAAATTTAACTGCTTTTGTTATTTTCTTGTCATTTATTTTTATTAGTTTGTTTGCTTTCTATTATTTTCTTCTGTTAGCTTTATTTCCAAAATACCATTTTTTAAAGTTTTTTCCAAATTAGGACCAAAAGAAAAAAAAATCTTTCAAAAGAACTTTGATTATGAGGAAACCGAGAATAGTATATAGAGTAAGGGGGTGAAAGGTTGAATCTAGGGAAACCGGAAAATTTTGACAAAAATAAGTTTTTCTTGAACACCCAAGTTCCCTAAAGTAAGATACAAGTCTAACATGTAGATTTGTACCATACTACTCAGACCCTGAGATGTACTCCGTAATTAGTTTATCATGACAGTCTGACATAATTTAGATTCACATGCATGTATGACTGATTGAGAAATAAATAATTTTAGCACGAAAATGATGAAAAAGGCGGTAAAAGGTAACTGCATCTTTTAAGTTGGGTAACCCTCACCCAGTTATTCAGCCCAATGATGATTGAACCCCAAACGTCGTCCCAAAATGGATAATAAATAAACACACAAAAGTGCATTAAATTTCATCGATAAATAAAGATGACAATCGTTGCATATCTGGTGTCTAAACAAAAGTTTTCGATGAGTCTTGTGTGTGTGATGATTATCATAATTCCTAATGCCTTAATTTGATTGTCTAAATGAAAAGGGAGGAAAATCATAAATGAGACTCAAGTACAAAGCATAGTTATAGAGGTATCTGAAAGGAAAACTTAGGTTTGTAGTTTTATTGTGGTTAGTGTTCTCGTAAAAATTCATGGCGTCAGATGAGTGCCGGAAGAACTAGTCTTTAACCGTTCTAAACAAAAACTCACGTATGAGTACCAGCATGCTTCATTTTCATAAGCTCTTTCATTGATGATTCACTTGATCCAAAAATTCGCATTTGCAAGCTTTGTTGCTTGAGGACAAGCAACAATCTAAGTTTGAGGGAGTTTGATAAGTAGTTTTTGTATTGTTTTTATTAGTAGTTTTAATTTGTAATTCCTTTGTTTTTATCCATTTCTCCTTCATTTTATTATCTTTTATGCTTTGGTATTATGTTTCTATTGTTTTCAGGCCTTAATAAGCATTATAGACGAATGAAGGAAAAATTGGATGAAACACGAAAAAGGGCGAAAAGTTGAAGTCCTCCATACTAAAATCCGTGAGTTGTTACGACCACCCGTAAGCCATTACAGACCGTAATAGCAAGGCGCCCCAGACTTCTCAATTTTGACGCCCATGCCAAGAACCCATGGTTTGTTACGACCACCCGTAATAACTATTATGGGCCGTGACAGACAAACATGTTTCCATCTTTTTGTTTCCTTTATCAGTCCAATTTGTTGTTGATTTGGAACCTTTGCACATTCCAATTCGAGTTGATTCTACTTTTAAAGGCATTAAAGCATAATGTTTTATCCTTGTTTAGAATAAGCTATAAAACTCATAGGTAATTGAGCTTTAGAGGTATCCAATTTTTATCATAATTTTCTTTTTCACGCACTTTTACTTTTATCGCTTTGTACAAGTTTTCATTGGAGCAACTTGATCAAATTATATTGAAGCTTTTCATTTATTCAAGTTTTATTTAATGCTTTAATTATTATTGTTATTTTCTATATTTAATCATGTTTTCATCCGCAAGAATTATTTTGATTGAATCATCCTTCATTATGAGTGAGTAGTTTTCTAGGGATCAAGGGTCATGAACTCTATCAATAATTATCTGTTTGAATTAGCTGATGCCAATTAGAGAATTTCATCCTTTTTATTTTAAATCCTGAATTTTTGATTCAAACTCCGCCATTAAAGTGAGAGTATTTTTAGGCGTTTATCTTAATCTGAAAGGATAAGTGTAAACGTCGGAAAGCAGTTTTTAAACGGTTAAGTCCGAAGTCACGAAAGCGATTGGATGAAATTGAGAAAATGATCCATTTTTAATATTCGTGCAAAAGTAATGATCACTGACGAACGCTTCTGCACGAGCGAAAGCCAACGAGCGTCCCGTTCATCAGAGATAGGGCAATACGCTAGCAAAAGCATGTATCGTCCATAATAGTCTATTTTTCTATAAATTGTGTCGAAATTTTCGTAGTAGAAGTGCATATGCCATATGGAGAAGTCGAATGTAGAGTCATGACCCTAAGTCCTGTTTATCTTACTACAATTTTAATTAAGTTATTTTTTAAAAGTGTTTTTCAAATAAATTGTTTTGACTCAAATGCTTTTTCACTTTAAGTTAATTTTATTTTTCACTATTCGGTTGCTCTAGTTTTACACTAATAGAATAAAATTCGATAATTAACTATTAATTTTTGAAGTTCGATATCTTTTTACTACTCTTACATTTATCGTACGCTTACGGCGTGTCATTGACAAAATACATATACTCGATGGGGATCTCACTTAAACTCAGTTCGAAGTGTATTATGCATGTATGATGCAACTTGTGTTTGTAAAATGTAAAGAAGAACGTAAATATTCCCTTCACAATGATACTATTCAAAGCTTATGATGTTGTTACATGTTTTGAGTTTCTCTGTGTTACATCTTATGAGAGGTATTTCAGCCATTACATGTGATCTTTGTTGTGCTTTGCAAGGTAAGAATCAAGACATATTGAATGCAATGTCTTTGGTTTCCCCGACTAAAAGTATGATCCAAAGAATGATAGGAATCAGAATGATAGGAATCAGGTTGGGAAAGTTTTTTTAAGGAAGTGTTATCATTTTTGTTGAGAATATAGTAAGGAGGGACCGCCTTACTTGTATCGCAAAGTCAACCGCACCACATAATAGAAATCAATGCTCTTAAAAGAGGTCGAACTCGTCCAAATATTACATTTGAACATTATTATCAAATTAATTTGTTCATTGCTACAATTCACATTCAATTACAAGAGCTTAATAGTAGATTTTGTGATAATAAGGTAGAAATTGTTACTTTGAGTACATATAGTATACAACAATAAAAACTAATGTACTACAGACAGCAAAACTTTCTGATCATTATCATCCAAAATATGTGTTTGAAAACAGTTTTGTCCAGTTTGATGTTCCATCTCTAGTTGATCCATTTCTGATTCAACTAATGCAACCATTCTTGCTCGTTCCCTATCCCTCGGGTATGTGGAATACAAAAATGAATAAATGATAACACATATTGCAATAGGAATTGCAATTGTACTATAAAGTGCCTTACCAAGTGATGCAGCATTTTCTCTATCAGTTTCAACTTCAACAGAATCTGATGAACCTTTCGGCACTGGTTTATAACCATAAACATGCTGAGCCAAAACTCCAACAATAGGCGGAGCAAAAGACGCCAATATACACTCAAAAGATCGATCCAAAGCATATATAGCCGTTCGCGATTTCTCAGGTACTATTTCAGCAAATATAGGATCATTTGTTGCAACTGCACACCAGAATGTGATTATTCCCATGATGACCAAAACAAAACCATGAATGAAGGGTGTGGATGGATCATTTGGTAATAACAACAACAAAATCGCAGCTAAAGGAATTGTCGAACCCGCGCTTATTTGCGCCAACATTATTCTTCCAGTGTTTGGTAACCGTTGAGACAAAAAGTCTCCAAGCCATCCTCCAAACAGACCTCCAAATGAAGCAGAAATTATAAATATGGTCCAAATAATCGCTGTTGTACCATGTGAGAAGCCTATTAGTTCTAACCAAAGAGTGAAAAACGACAAACTCGACCCTCGGAATGATCCGAATACTCCCTGAGCTACAATTATCTGAAAAGAAGGAACTTTTATAACAGACTTTGCTTCTTTTATTAAATCTTTCACCTCAGAATAAAATGACTTGTCTGAAATTTGATATGATGCGGGTTTGGTGCTGTTGTTTGGAAAGTGTGGATCTTTGGCAAAGACGCGTACTAATATACCGACTATGACACTCACCAATGCAACAATATGAAAAGCTATTCTCCAACCAGGTATGCCAAAGAATGATGTTGAAGCTAGTAGTACTGCAAAGAGATTACCAATGATGCTTCCAATGTTTCCTGTTAGTTGAAGCCATCCAAAAGCCGTACCGCGGTTGCTATCAATGGTGGAGTCTGCAATTAGAGACTGAATTGCTGGAATAACAATGGCGAGTCCTATGCCATTTAAACCTCTTGAAATAGCCACCTATATATCATGCAACAAAGTTATACTACATATCAATACAAGGCAAACAGACAACAAACAAACAAACAAACAAGTACCTGCAAGAAGGTCGAGGAGATTGCTACGAAGAATGTAGCAACAGCCCAAAGAAAAGCACCGAGAGCAATAACATGAGCACGGTTGTGACGTGTGGCGAGGTAAGCAGCGAGAGGATAACAGAATGATTGAACGAGGGATCGGTAGAGAGTGAGAGAGCCTAACGCGGTGGGGTCAGCGTTCAGAGCAGCACCGATCTCTTTGTATACTCCTGGCAGCAGTGATGTATCTGCTCTCTCCATGATACCTGCTAGATTCACCAGCACCAGTGTGAGTGTCTCTGATTTCATCTTTACAATCTGTTTTCTATGAATGATAGATAAGTAAGTGTCATATAGAAAATGAATCTGCAATGTGTATGGAGTTGTAGACCCAAATGGTGTTTGGGGTTGACTTGGATGGATATGGTCATGTGTAGAAAAAAGTTTTCAAGAGAGAATGCATTGATTGTTAAGAGAGTGTATGAGTGTGTGGTTTAAAACATTTCAAATTTCAAACTTATGACTTTATAGTTTATACTTACTACAAGAGATATTTTAATTTTAATTGAGAGCAAGTGGGAAAACAAAATAGAGAGTGCCGTCGATTAGGACTTCAAATTTACAACACTTAAGTGAATGTCAAGTAATATGAGAAATTGGATCTTCCGTCGACATGATTTTGCCGCAATCATGCAATCAAAATATTTACAACTATTAGATTATAATAACACCATTCATATTTAATGTAAATTTGAATTTTTTAAAATATAAAATATTTAATCCTAATATATTAATGGCTCGATTCTGATTCAAAGATCATATAATGGCGAATTCAATCGATTTTCCTTGTACGCACGGAAATGTTATCCGTAATGTGTTTTAAAAGTATGATAATATTTTAAGGTATCAAATGAAATCAAAAATTATCTTTTATCCTTATTTTTATTAATTAGCTTTATTTGTCTTTCTCTAGTATATAATTTTACAGCTTTTATTATTTTTGTTAGAGCTCTTATTTTAGCATCCTAACCGATAACATACTAAAAAGTGGTCTAGTTGGAGGTAATAGATTCACCTTGGTTTCAATAGAAGAATAGAAAAGGGGGATTAAGGTTAACATACTAAAAAGTGGTCTAGTTGGAGGTAATAGATTCACCTTGGTTTCAATAGAAAAATAGAAAAGGGGAATTAAGGTAGAAGTGCTTTGTTGCACATGGCTTTTCAAGTTTGTTTTCTCGAGATTACATGTACTTGGACGATGAGTAAGTGTAGCTAAAAATCTCTTTGTTGAGGGTAAACTTAGTCATTATATGTAAATATTTAATTATGATCATGGCGTTTTATGTAATTTTACTTAAGCTTTCATATTGATGATTTTTCATTCTTAATCCTTATTTCGAATTATCTTCCTAAAATATGTTTTCATGGTACGACTTGACACACGAAAGGTGTTGGTTGTTACTAGATCAACACCTCTATCTATTGGATGTTAATGCCTAAACAAAAAGTAGGTTTAATATATACGAATTACATATAATTGGTAATCAATATATTTATATCACTGTGAAATTTAATGGTGTCATATTTAATAGTATCAGAAATCGTCTATTAGGTAATACAACTGATTTCACATCGTTGATTCAGAAATGAGATATAATGAGAGCAACATACGATAATATTAATAGCTAAGTAGAAAAGCATATTCCTGACCAACGATTATGCATGAGTATAAACGATGACAAAATCTACTCCTAACAAGTTTTCAGTTAACTCCAAATCTCCATTTACTTTTTTGTCATTTACTTTCTCTGCAATCAAACAACTATAAAACTCTTACTTAGAACTATAAAAATTGTTGAATGTATCTTTAAGCACAACCAGTCTCTGAATATGATAATATTGCTCTTGATATTTGCATTGCAATAAAATAGTGTCGCTGTCGGGGACTGGTGTTAGTTTTTAAAGATATCATAACAATTTTTATTATTATAATTTTTGTGTTAATCATTATGAATATTTGTATATTTTGTTTATTATCGCTAACCCGCTAATAGTATTAGCTAGTCTTTCCTGCTTAAGTGAGGAAATGATCTAACATAACCCCTTATGTTCGATCCTGAAATTGAAAGAACCGCACGAAAAATTAGAAAGTAAAAGAAGAAAGCTAGATTGCCATATCTAGAAGAGTCTTTTGTCTTAAAACAAAAAAACATGGTTGACACAGATAACAGCAATCAAAACAACAATAACAACAATGGAAACGTTACTGGTGGCATGCCATGCCACAACCGTCCAAGACATCTAGCATGCATAACTAGACTACAAAGGTGAAATTTCAGTCATAATATCATATGATATCGTTTTTTAGTTTTTATGTTTTTGTTAATTTAAGTGTATTTCTTATTTGATTATTTGCGTGCTGGTAATTTGTGTGTTATTTGATTATTCGTGTGTTTGTAATATGTTAGTTTTTGAATTGTATTCTATTTTCTTTGGCTATGAAGTATTGTACCTTAAATCCCCCCCACTACTCAATTAATTAGAATGTCAGTCTATGATATTGTGTTCCTTTTGAGCCTTGCAAGTAGATTTTTGTCGTTTCATCAAGTGTTACTTGAATAACAAGTTAGAACACTTGAAATTTAAGGTGTTGAGTTGCTTGATTCAAATCATGTACATTGCGTGACTCGAATTATGCAAATTGTGAAAATTGGGTTTTGGTTCTGTGTGATTTGATTCAAATCACAAGTTTACTTGACTCAAATCACAACATTCTATAAAAGCAAGAATTTAGCCCTTCTAGATTTGATACGAATCATGAAATACAAGTGACTCGAATTGCAACACAATATGACTCGAATCATGGTTTGCACTAGATTCAAGTCACGGGTTTGAATAGTGATTTAAATCATAATCTCAAAATTATAAATTTTCACCTTAGATTGTTTTTCTAGCGCACCATACGAAATTCTAAAAATCCCCCAAAAAACGAAAATATATTTTCGATGCACACCCACACGCTTATAATTCATTCTTTTTTGAGATTCACCCTATTTTACGACAAAAATTTATTCCATAAATACACTTCTGAGAATTCTCGAAAATACACTTCCAATAATATAATAGATAGTTACAGAAATTTCTATTCTCACTTCTTACCAATTTTCTTCCAATTTTCAATACTTTTTGTTCAATATTTAATACCCACTTTTTTTCTTTGATTTGATGATGCAGAATAAAAAAGTTGTGATCTTTGGTTGGCAGTTTTCTTATAAACATAGTAATTTTTAAGATAGTGGTTTTTATTTTATGTTTTGGATGTTTTTAAGGGTGCATATACAGGAGTTTGTTTAGGCAAACATGTTCTTCCTTATAACGATAATATTTAAAGCTAAAGGGATTGATTTTATTATTTGTGTGTTTAATCAGTCGTTGCAAAAAAAAAGTGGGTATTAGATATTGAATAAAAGAGTATTGAAAATCGAAAGAAAACTGGTGAGAAGTGAGAACAGAAATTTAAGTAATTATCTAATATATTATTGAAAGTGTATTTTTGAGAATTTTCGAAAATGTAAATTCGAAATAGATTTTTATCGTAAAATAAAGAGAATCTTAAAAACGAATGAATTATAAACGTGTGAGTGTACACCAAAAATATATTTTTAATTTTTAAGGACATTTTTAAAATTGCATAAAGATATTTCTTTTTCTTATAGAGAAAAAAGAAATCATCTATATTTATATAGTTGTTTCTTTATCCAAACAAGAAAGAGTCTCCTTATGAACTTTTTACATAATGAAAGAATGATGAAACTTTTGTAAGACAAAATATCAATTTGTATTTCCTTCTCTAGTTTGTTTCTTCTTAGTACCTTTTGTATTTTTTTTTGTTTGAAAAATAACTTTTTATGTTAGATTACATCTTTTTTTTTTTGGTTACATCTTATGTATAATTTATTGGTGAAGGAAATTAGAGAAAAATAGTTGATTAATCTATTTTGATCAAGCCAATAATAATCATAAGAACTGTTCTGGACTGAGTCTGCCCTTGGTCCAACCACCAGTAAGACCCAATCCAAGCTTGCCAACCTGTTGCGCTGAGCAGTATACCCACCGAGCACACCCCGATCATAGGTATCTGGTCGGCTATGATTGCTTTCCGCCGGTGCTCGCGAAGAACGTCCCCGACGAGCACGCGCTCCCTCCGAGCACCCTCCTCGTAGGGCTGACTTTCAACCTCTCTGGATTTCGCGGAGTCTTCATGGTCCCGGAAAGATCGCGTGTTTATCCTCCCTGTCTTGCGGAGGGCATCATCCAGGTAGGGGGCCACGTGCGGGTCCCCACTACTCACGTAGAACCTGACAGTCTCTTTGTTGGGCCTGTTTGATCAGCCCAATAAAGAGACCTTGGCGCAGCGCTGGGGGCTATAAATACCCTCTCTTTTAAGAGGGTCAGGTATTCATTCATTCACACCTACATTCATACTTGCTTGCTCATTCCTCCTCTCATTTTGCGATCGGAGTGTCTTGCAGGTACCCCTCCCCCATCTCCTTCAAATTCAGCCCAAAGCCAGTTATGACGGTCCAATTCTGATCCGGTAAGATCAGTGGCACCGTCTGTGAGAAACTAAGCTTCCCCGTCTTCTCTTCATTTAAAAGACCAAAGCTAAACAATCCTCGACTGTCATGGCTGACCAAACTCAAGACAACCAGAACGTCTGTGTCGTTGACATTAACAACAACATCACCGATAATAATGTCGTCCTCGACAACACCGGTACCGCCGACCATAATACGGTCCCTGGCGTCAACATCCCTGGACCTTCTAACTACCGGGATGGAGCCACGACTTCTTCATCAATCCCTCATCGACTTGAAGAAGATCAACCAATTTCTCTGAACTACCCAGCCGTCCAATTCCACGAGGTCCCCGTCTCCACCGGGACAGACGCCACGACCAGGGTACTGTTCGTGGCGATCAACCAAACCAACTACCTCATCTTCGCCCAAGGGGAAAGACTGAGAGCACTCGAGGACGTACGAAGGCCCTCTAGAAGGCACAGAAGACCTCAATCTCCTCCCCCTCGACAAGCGGACGAACGTCCCCAATCTCCCCCACAGAGACAAAATCGGGACATCTCTCGAAGCCCGTCACCCTGACCACTCGGGAGACAACCCCCTTTGGAGAGAGAACCGCTCGTCGACGAGGGAAGGCGCGACTATGGCCCCTCGCGACAAGAACGAAGACCCCCCGGAGACAGACACGGGGGAAACCATCAACAGTCACACCGCCTGAGGAACGCTCCACGC